TTATATATGACAATTTTTCCTCATGGAGAATATAGTCCAGGGATAGATCCAGCATTATATAATTTCCAATCTTTTCTTAACTATATATAATAATAATTCAGGTGAGTTTACCAAAGAAATTCAGTATGTTAATACAGCACATAGCAGCGTATGTGGTGCGGAGCAGTTAGAAGAACTTTTTTGAAGACGTGACCCGAAGCTGAGCACTGTGGTGCAAATAGGAGTTAACCAGATGAGAGAGTTAAAGGATGAAAATATTTACCATATTTCCTGAGTCAGAGAAGAATATGGCACATTGGGAGAATTCTGATATAGGTTTGGGTATTTTATATTTCAAAAAGGAAGATAAACTGTTTAATTAGCTTGAGGTCCGATTATAGTTTATCCGTGAATGTCTGCAACACTACTTATGCACGGTAATTATACTCATGACACATGGTAGACAAATCTTTGCCATCTAAAGGGTGGTGAAAGTGTTGAGATAAGATAAAAATATAACCATAATGTTTGTACCCTCATAATATCCTGAAATTAAAAAAAAAAGATAAAAATATAAATGAAGTACTACTCTATGGTCACAGAAGATGATGAGAAAACATGGGGAGCATTTGGGGAAAAACACACTTAAAAAATTAGACTTTGAGCTACATGCACTGGACAAGTAAGGTTTAGAATTGCAGAAATCTGTGCAGTATATTCTGAATCATAGAAGAAGCAAAAGTAATTGTTAAGAGATAGGAACGTATAGCTTATACACAAACACAAGTAATTAGGGTTAGCTGTAATATTTACTGTAGATTATTTTTTATTATTATTATTCCAGGGTTTTGTGAGGGTACAAACATTGTAGTTACACTTTATGTCTTTGCCTCACCCAAATGCAGGTTAAAGGCATGTCCTTCCCTCCCTTTAGTGCTCCCCGTGTCCTTTAGTTGTAGATTTGCCCCCCCATCCCCCAATCCCTATTTGTTACTTAATCAGGAGCAGTAATACAGGAAATATATGTCATTTCAGGCTACTATTTTCCTTATTGTTAATATCTAAATGATGCACATTCAATTTAATTTAATCATGCTTACATTACAAAACAAGAAAATGATACTATCTGACAATTAGTAGGTAAATTTTTATTACCAACTATCATATTTATTTCACCTTGCTCCTGCAGGAAGCTTAAAAAATAGGAAACTGTTTAACCTACCTTCCTGGAGTTCTATATCGAGTCCTGGAGAGGACGTTGGCTCAGAATCTGTTTTAGGATGTGCTATAAGAAATGATTAGAAATTTGCTTAATGAGGTATAGGTTTATGAAATAATAAAGTATTACACATTAGTAAAGTGAAACTTTTATTATTAAACTAGTTCCTTAAAGTTTTGATTTTTGTGCAGACTTGTCTAGAAAAACTTACAAAATTTCAACAAAAATCCCAAAGTGGCCATCAACAAAAGGCATATGACTCCTAAGGTCCCACAAATCAACCTCCAGCGAGTGGTCTGAGACACTGTAGAGAAAGACAAGTGGAATAATGACTTAAAGAACAAACACAGGAGCTGAAGTTCTTAAAAACAGAAATCAGTGATGTAGGGTCTAAAATGTTCTTTCATTTGATAACACAGTCATCTTGTCAATAAAACACCGAAGAATCAAGACAT